GGAGCGCGGCGGAGGCCGGCCCCTCGCTTCAGGCCTCAGGCCGCCGCCTGCCCTCCGCCAGGCCGCCCGCCGCCGGCCCCGCTCGGACCCCGGCCCGGCCGGGCCTCGGCACCGCCGCATCCCCTCATCCTGGCTTCATTCATAGGGGCACCGCAGCCCGGCCGGCGGTGCGGGGCCGGGGACCCGCGGACAAGACCGACCCGCCAAGGCCGGGGAGGAAAATAAAAAGTTAAGAGAAGAACTTACCTAAAATGGCTCCTGCAGCAGCCAAAATACAAACAGCTATTATTTGGTGAAGTTTAGCTCAGACACCCTGCAAGGACACCCTAACCCGTCTCGGGCCCGCCTTCCCTGCCATGCCATTGGGCTTCGCCGGCCCAAAACACAGAGTCATTGGTCAGCCTGGCTGCCGCTCAGACAGAAGCCCATTTCAAGCTTGCTTGCAGAGGCGAGTGATGGGCTCGCTCCATTGTGCTCGTATTTGCATGGATGTGATAGCGGCGCTGATTGGCCGGCGCCGGGGCCGCCCCGCCCCCTGCCTCGCGCCCCCCGCCTTAGAGACGCCGCTGCGCGCGGCCCCGCCCCCCGGGACAGAGCGGCGGGGCCACGGGGGCGGGGCGGGGCCGGGGTCCTGCGGGCCGAGGGGGCGGGGCGGGGTCCTGCAGCCGCAGACAGCGGGCAGGGGGCGGGGACCTGGAGCACGCGCGCGCGGAGCGGGGCGGGGGTTCAGCCAGCAGGTGGAGGTCTCTTAGGTAGCGGGCTAGCCATATGGAACACCCTGGGCTGGCGTCTCCGGGGCTGGGAGAGGTTGTGACTGGGGTGCCGCGACAGAGAGATTCCGCTGGGGCCGAGGTCCCGTTGGTCAGGAAAAGAAGATTCCGAGAAGCCAGGCGAAGAGCCAAGGAGCCCCGAGCTCTGTCTCCAGCCGCATCCCTGCCGCTCCTCCTGGCTCCCGGGCACTCCTGGCACACGGGCTTCTTCCCAAGGACCCCCCGCACACCCGGGGAGTTTTTAGCCCCGGCGGTCTTGCGGCGCCTTGGATATACCTCCGTAAAATCAGGTGTCGAGCTATGGTGTGTTTATGTTCAGGCCTGTCTCCCTCACCATCCTTCTAGCATCCTCAAGGACAGGGCCCAGCATATGGCAGTGATTCAACTAATTGTTTAATATTCTTTAATTCGTTCGTTAGTAGCTAATTTTTGAATGCCCACTAAATGCCAGGCATTGATCTAAGACAGGAGATACAGCGGTCAGTAAGACAAAGACCTTGCTGTCGTGGAATGGACCTGCTAAGGAGAAAGAAAGACAATAAACAAATACAGGGGGAGAGCTAGTGATAAATGTTATAAAGAAAATAGATGCAGGCAGAAAGGAATGGGGAGTTGGGCCTGTCTGGCTGAATACTCTGTATGGCATCCATTACTGCCCCCCTCCCAGATGTGGCAGTCACCTCACCACCTTACCCCCTGCTTGCCTCCATCACAGGTGTTTCCTTAACACCCACAAAAAATAAAATGGTTGGCTTCTGACTGTGGAGGCTCATTTTACCTTAATTAAAGTAGGAATGATCTGAGTCCTGATGATTCCAAGAGCTGTTTGTCTGATACTTTTAAGATGAACATGGTTTGACTTTGTCAGAGGTAGCTGTAATGATTTAGCAGAGCCTTACTGCACCCCCAGAGAGAGGATATTTTTAGTGTCTTTGAAACCCCAGCATTCCTATGATTTTCATCCCATGGCCCTAACTCTCTTCCGAGGACCACTTCTTCCCTTCTCGGCAGACACCAGAGATTTCTCCAGTTTGAAAAATACAAAGATAGCAGCCCCCGCCCCCTGCCACCTGTCTACTTCACCTGTGCACATTTCTTTCATTTGACTCAAGACTGGCCAAGATATATCACGGTCCTTCCCTCCTCCCTCCTCTTTCTTCCTTCCTTACACAAATATTTATTAAGCACCACCTATGTTCCAGGTATTGTTCTAGATATTAAACAAGGCAGACGACATCTCTGACCTCAGGGAGCTTATAGTCTAGCTGAGGACAAGGCAGAGTTTGACACATGGATCCTGAAGAACTCCAGTCCTGCCGAGCTGCTGGTGAGTGAGTATGCAGAGAGCTGCTTGTCCCCGCTGACTCTCCCAATGCAGAGCGGACTTGCTCTCCTGAACCAGCGGCTGCAGGGGCTGAAGCAGGACCAGACAGATGGTAGCTACAGCCTCTTCAGTCTGACACCAGGATCAAGGGTCTAAAACTGCTCATGGGACTTGGGTTTGTGAACATTAGCTTCTGGAAAGGGGCTGGGAGCAGAGTTATATCAGAGGCAGACTTGGTGAGTCCAACATGGGAGTCGAGTGGCCCTCCGTTCACACAATCAAATCCTGTGCCCACAAAAGATGACATAGCACAAATGAGGTGGGGGAGGAATGGGACTCCAGGCAGAGGGAGGAGAGTGTGCATGCCAAAGCATAAAAGCAAGGACACTGTTGTGAGGTGTGGGAGGGGGAGAGGGGAGGGAGGTAGATTTGTCAGTAATTCCCGTTCTTAAACTTGAGAAAAGTCAGTAGCACATAAGAAATTAAACACACACAAAGACACAAATGTTATATCACTAAACAAGAAATCAATAGGAATGCATGATTGATTCACAAATGAATGGTACAGGTACAAGCAAAGGAAAGATTTGGTAGCTATACTCAGGAGAGGTAGCAGGCTTGACCTTCAAAGAGTCAAGTCTGTAGAATCGACCAAGGTTAGTGGAATCTGACCCTTAAAACACTTCCGCGGTATCCAGGGGCTAGAGGGGAAACACAAACAGCTAAGTGTCTTTTAGCTGTAACCATCCATGGGGACGTATTAGCCTGGGTTCTCCACAATGCAGAGGCTGATTCTGTAGGGCAGGAGTGAGAGGCAAAAGGAGTAAGGTAGGGGACTTTCTCCTTCTGCCAGTCCAGTGGGTAAGACTCTGTGCTCCCAATGCAGGAACCTGGGTTTGATCCCTGGTCAGGGAACTAGATCCCACATGCTGCAACTAAAAAGAGCCCCATGCCACAACAAAGATCTCATACATGGCAACGAAGATCCCACGTGCCACAACTAAGACCTGGCGCAGCCAAATAAATAAATAGTTCTTTTTTTAAAAGGAGTAAAGTAGGGAAGAGGGAAGAGCTATTACCAGGATGATTATTCATGTGGCCTCCACTAAGTGTGGCTGATTGCTCCCACTCAAGGGATTATCCTCTGAGAAGCTACATAAAATGAGTCTCAGTACAGCCTGTGGGAGAGGGAAGGGAAGGAAATTTATCCACCAGCTCATCTTGACTGAATTCTTATTCATTCCAGTTTTTCACACATAGGTGCCAAGTGGGGTTCTGTGGTGTCCCAAACTTCAGTGTTAAGGAGTGTGCAGCAGGGCCATAGGGCAAAGGATTATCAGGATGCAGCTTTGTGGAACTGGAGCCCATGCAGAGCTGGATGCCACAGCAGCGGCTGGGACAGAGATGGCTGACACTAAGAGGCCCTGAAGTTCTGACGTGGGGGTGACATCGGTGATGCATGACTTTCTGTACCACATAGTACATCCATGTTTACAAAGGGCCCCAGAAGAACAATCCTTAGGTGCTCTGAAGGGGAGACATGAGAGGGCTGCCAACAGTTCTGGAACTTTGTGACAGTAAGTCTAAAAACACAAGTTGCATCCTGCCTGACCATGTTCTCTCTTGCCTTCCTGCCTCTGTTCACTTGTCTGTTTCCTCCATTTGACTGTGAGCTTCTATATTGTTCTTGTTTATATATCTCTGGCAGAGGAAAGGCTACTTTCCCCCTCCTATTTCATTTTCCTCCTAGGCTCATAGCAAAACTACATTTCTCAGTAATCAGATAGGTCCTTGTGACCGAACTCTAACGGAATCTGGACAGAAGTGACACAAATATATCCCATGTCTAAGCATCCCCTAAAACTTCCTATGTGATCCTCCAAACTCTTCTCCTATCCTCATCTGCTGGCCAGATGCAAAACTATCCAGTGGAGGAATCAAGAGGCCCCAGAAAATGGCAATGGCATGAGTCTGCGTCACCAACTGACCGCATGGAGCAGAACCCGTGTGCTTCCCTGCACTGGACTGTGCTATGAGGGAGAAATAAACTGTCAAAATGTCAAGTCACTGAAATGTGAAGGTTGTTTGTTACGGCCATTAGTACACTCTGACTAATGCAGTTCTTATCTACATTCATTTGATTCTTTGTCCCTCCAGGGCAAGGACTATTTATTTGGCTTTTTAACTCAAGTACTAGTACAATGTCTGGCTACATAGTAGGAATTGCTCAAAGTATGAATGGATATGAATGAGCTGATACCTGAGCCTGGTCTAAAGCATCAAAGGCAGAATGACAGGTAAGGTGGCAGGTGGAAAGTGTTCCACTCAGGAGACACAGCATGTGCTGCAGAGGCAGAGAGACTGGGGTGAACATATGCAATTCTCAGCAGTACAAATAGTTCATGATTTGAGAGTAAGATGGCTAGGGTGAGGCTAGAGAGAAGACAGGGGCCAGATTACAAAAGGTTTTATTCATTACATGAAGGAGTCTGAACTTTTTCCTACAAGAATCATTCAAACAGGGATGTGATACCATCAAGTTTATGTTTTAGAAAGATCTCTCTAGCAGCCTAGAAGAAGGATGGATTAGAAAGGAAGAGGCCAAGATGTAGATTTCTTTAAAGTAACATTCCCCTTTGCTCTAAATCATTCTTCTCATGAGATGCTCCACTAAAGAGTTTGGGGGTCAGGTTGGTTTGGACATTGTGCATACTTGAGCCCCTCTTGGAAGCTCCCATTGTTCATTAAAAACTCTGAGAAGTCCTGCATTAACGAAATCTGTTAAACTTTAACATAATATTTCTCAAAATTATTTGGCCCTTTTCATTTAATACCTATTTAAAGTAGTATTAGGATTAGATTTGCCTATATATCACACACACACAAAAGGGCAAAGGGCATTAGTAACACTGAAGTTTATTTTTGTCTTGCATAAAAGAAATCTGGGAAGCAGGCAGTGCAAGGGAGGCATGGAGCTCTGTGGTACTGTCAGTAACCCAGGCTTCAGTATTTTTGCTCCACCATCATTGACTTTCATTCCCAAGGTCACTTCATGGTCCAAAGTGGCTGCTGGAACACCAGTCCCTATTTTTTTGGATGGAAAAAAGGAAAGACAGGAAAAAGTGGAGTTGAGTCATGTCCCTTAAACAGCCTTCCTGGAAATACTACACATCACTTCTGCTTACATCTCATTGGCCAGAACTCGGTCACATGGCCACACCAAGCTGCAGAGGAGGCTGGGAAATATGGTTTTAAAAAAATTTTGCTTGGTTATGTGTCAAGTTAAAAATTGAGGTTCTTGGGACTTCCCTGGTGGTCCAGTGGTTAAGACTCTGCGCTCCCAATGCAGACTGCCCAGGTTTGATCCCTGGTCAGGGAACTAGATCCCGCCTGCTGCAACTAAGATCCGGCACAGCCAAAGAAATAAATAAATATTTTTAAAAATTGATGTTCTTAAGTTTCCATCAACAGATGAATGGATAAAGAAGATGAGATATATATATATATATATATATATATATATATATGATGGAATATTACTCAGTCATAAAAAAGAATGAAACATTGTCATTTGTAACAACATGGATGGACCTAGAGATTATCATGCTAAGTGAAGTCAGTCAGACAAAGACAATTATATATTACTTATATGTGTAATCGAAAAAATAATACAAATGAACTTATTTACAAAATAGAAACAGATTCACAGACATAGAAAACAAACTTATGGTTACCAAAGGGGGAAGCAGGGGAAGGGATAAATTAGGAGTACGGGACTAACAGATACACACTACTATCTATAAAATAGATAAACAGCAAGGACCTACTGTATAGCACAGGGAACTATATTCAACATCTTGTAATAACCTATAATGGAAAAGAATCTGAAAAAGTATATATATATATATATATATATATATATATCTATATCTATATATATATCTGAATCACTTTGCTGTGCTCCTGAAACTAGCACAATATTGTAAATCAACTATAATTCAATTTAAAAAATTGAGATTCTGTCACTAAAGAGTTGAGAGACTCACTTAGCAGTCTCTGGCACAATGTCCCACAGAAATAGTATTCCCAGAACATAAGATGGGATAAAATGACTAAGTAAGGAGACTGATTTTTTAAACATTTTTAACAGCTTTATTGAAGATAATTTGCATACCGTACCCCACACCTACTGCAAGTGTACAGTTTAATGATTTTTAGTAAATTTATACAGTGGTGCGACCTTTACCACAATCCAGTTTTAGAAAATTTCCACCTCCCCCAGGAGCTCCCTTCTTCCTGTCTGCAGTCACTCTCCACTCCCACTCCCAGGCCCAGGCAACCATTGATCTGCTTTCTTCTCTATAGTTTTGCCTTTTCTAGAAATTTCATCCTTACAGAACAGTGCAATATGCAGTCATTTGTGTCTGGCTTATTTCACTTAATGCAACATCTTTGTGGTTCATCCACGTTGTAGAATATATTATCTGTTTATTCCTTTTTATCACTGCAGAGTCCACCATTGTATGGATAATGCCGTCTTTTTACAATACTTATCCACTCGCCAACTAATGGACATTTGGATTGTTTCCACTTTGGGGCTATTATGAATAACGGTGCTATGAACATTTACATGCCAGTCTTTGTGTGGACATATGTTTTCATTTATCTTGGGTGGATACCTAAGGAGATTGATGCTTACAATCGAACACATACGTTGAAAGGGCATTCACTGATTACCTGCAACTGGCAAGCACTGTACTGGGTGCTGGGGATACAACGGTGAATAAAATGCAGCACAAACTCAGCCTTCCTGGAGCTTGCAATCTGTGAAGAAGACAGACGTTTGGTCAAATAATCGTGCAAACAAATGTAAAACATAACAGTAGTGGTAAGTGCCATAAAGGAAGGTCACTTGGTGCCATGAGAGCCTGTGCTGGAAGGATCTGCCTTGATCAAGGAGGTCTAGGAAAGCTGCCCATTAGCTGAGATCTGAAGTATACCAGGATGATCACCCCAATGAATTTTGTCCTTCAAAGTAGTATCTTATGAGGCCATACACTTATTTCCAATAATGCTGCCCTTGCAAACAATTCTGAGCCAATTTATAAGCATGTTGGTCCCAGACCTCTTTGTCCTCAGATAAAGTCCTCGTGTTTTAACCTCTCAGAATGTTTTGTTTTCTGATTAGACCGTGACGAATCCAACAAACCACATAAGAAAATCAACTGCATCCCTTTAGAGTCACTCTCACCAATTGCCAAAAATGGAATTCCCTGCTATATCATGGACCTTATCCTCCAAGAGCTGGTGGAGAGGGGTTCATGGCAGTTTGCAAAAATAAACGCACAGAGGGACTTCCCTGGTGGTCCAGTGGCTAAGACGCCGTGTTCCCAATGCAGGGGGCCTGGGTTCGATCCCTGCTCAGGGAACTAGATCCCACATGCCGCAACTAAAAGATCATGCACGTGGCAGTGAAGATCCCAGGTGCCGCAACTAAGACCCGGTGCAGCCAAATAAATAAATGTATAAATATTTTTAAAAATAAAAATAAAAAATGAACTCACAGATATCATCTGTAACAGGAGGAGAGTGGGCAGTATCAGCTCTATTCTCCCTTACAGCTCGAAATCATGTGCCTGTGAATTTGCCACTGAGAAAATGCCAGTGACCCATGGTGTGTGGAGGTAACTCCCAAAAAAGAAATAAAAAAAATATGTATAGCCAGTGGCACTGCCCTGGCCTGCCAAAAGCACTTTCCCCAAGACAAAACTGGATAAGAATAGTTAAGCCCACAGGCTTTGGAGACAAAGAGATCTGGTTTCAATTCCAGCTCTACCGCTGGTGACCTTAGGAAAGTCACTTAACTTAGAGTTTTTTGATTTCGATAATAGGGTTGTTGTGTGGATTAAATTATTTGCACAAATTTAGCACATGGTAACTGCTGAACAAATTGTTAATTACATCCTTTCCTCTGGCCCCTATTTTCCCAAGTTCTGTGTAGATCTTCCCCCTTCTGTTGACTGGCTTTTTTTTTGCGGTACGCGGGCCTCTCACTGTTGTGGCCTCTCCCGTCGCGGAGCACAGGCTCTGGATGCGCAGGCCCAGCAGCCACGGCCCACGGGCCCAGCCTCTCCGCGGCATGTGGGATCTTCCCGGACTGGGGCACGAACCCGTGTCCCCTGCATCGGCAGGCGGACTCTCAACCACTGCGCCACCAGGGAAGCCCCTGGCTTTTTTTGGAAACATATTAATTCCATTGATTCGACCCAAGTCCATCTCTGTCCTTCTTGCCTTTGGCCTGAGGGACCTTCTGTCTTTTCAAGTGCCTTCTGCTGATATATGACCTCCATCCCTTGTGTATTAATTGGGCTGATTTAACTCTTAAAGTGCTGTAGAGCTCTCTCACCCATGTACGGCACAACTACTATTTTGATTTTCTAAAATCTGAGTTTATATGTATAAATGACTGTGCTCACTTTCGGTAACGATGATTTATAGAAAGTCACACCTCAAATGTTCTTGGACAGGATTTTTTGAAAACACTGGTCACCCTACCCTGAAATAACTCCATAAATCCTTCATTCTCTCTCAGAAGTGTACTTTCCTGCAGCCACAGACCATTTTAGACATAAAAACTTGCTTAAGCTGAAGCTTTTTACCAAGCCTCAAGTTGCTGTGGAATTCTTTTCCTTATGTACACAATTCTGCCATCAACATTACTGACCAATTTAGAGACATGACTATCTGCAAATTGACTATTAAAAAAAAAAAAGCAATGCTGTTTTCACTGTAGGAATAAAGCACTACAGTTTCTTTTTAATTAATTAATTAGTTTCCATGTTTTTGCCAGGGAAAAGTGTGGTAGCCATCCTCCAAGATGGCCCTCAATGGTCTCCACATGCTGAGATTCAAACTCTTATACTGTCCCCACCTATATGGGGTAAGACCAACTAGGAAGGGCTTGCAGTGTAAAACCTATTTGCCATCTCCAGACATTAACTTTGACAGTGACCACAATGATGTAGCCATTTCACCTGTAAAATGGGGATAATGCCGTCTAGGCAACTTATTAGGGTGCCGTCAGGGTCACATGAGATGCATTTGGCATAAACCCAAGAATTATTATTGAGGATTTCAGGTGTAGTATTTTATACATGAGACATCAGAGTATAAACCCATTCTGTATAATTTGCATGTGTCTTAGTGATGACCAGAGGCCATATTCATAATCCAGTGTCCTCACATGGTTGAAATGTCAGTGCCTCCAAAATCTTTTGACGCAGGGCTGTAGAATCTTCCAACTGCTAAGATGTGACATCTTCCCAGACCAGACTACTGATCGGTCATAGAGAATTGCCAGGGCACTGTCCCTCTTCATGCATTTCTGAAATATTCTTTTGGATAACAGCACACTTTTCATTAAATTTTTCTTGAATGGTTTTGAAGGAGTGTAAACAACGCCCTCAAAGGACTGGCCAGTGTTGAGCTCCATGAAGTACCAGCACTTCTGCCTTCTGCTTACCCAACAAGTGAATGGCATTTGCAGGAGAAGAGCTGGGCTACCAAGACTTGCTCAGACAATTTCATTCCAATTTAAACATGTGCCCGTGATGGATTCTTGACCTTAAAACTACACAGGAATCTAGCAGTCATTTAGCCATGGTTCTCAGTGTTAGGTCTTGACATGGCCAGTTATGAAGTATATGGTAATTTGTCACTGATCCTATACAAAGGAGCACAGTCTAAATGATTTACCTTTTAAAAAAATAAATAAATGGGAGCAGATATTCTTATAATAATGTAACTCCTGTTCATTTGTATTCTGATGTGCTCTCCTGAGCAACAGAGCAGGGGGTGGCATTTAGCTGAGCACTGGCAATGTCACATAGCCCATGGTGTACCTTGCCTATGGCTCAGCCTGTGGTGAGAGACCATTACCAGTTCTGACAACTATAAATCATGATGGTGTTGGTGAGGGAGTGGTGATTTTATAGTTATTACCACTATTAATGCTTTTGCTTCAGTAGTAGATGCTTTCTCAACTTATTACTAGTATTTGTTGGGCAAAAGTCTGGGAGAAGAACAAAACTTGTTAAAAATAAAGTTAGCCATATTTTATTAGTTTTTCCTTATATAATGGCAATTTTTGAGATTTTTTGTAATTTTCAAAATGGTTTTTATGACCATCACACCATAAATATTTTCACTACTATTTGTCTTAATTCCCTGGGGGAAAAAAATCAACCTAGATGGTGAGAAGTATAGTTTTCATCCAAACCTCCTCACTGGAAATGGAAATAAAAACAAAAATAAACAATGGGACTTAATGAAACTTAAAAGTTTTTGCACAGCAAAGGAAAACATAAAGGAGACGAAAAGACAACCCTCAGAATGGGAGAAAATATTTTCAAATGAAGCAACTGACAAAGGATTAGTCTCCAAAATTTACAAGCAGCTCATGCAGCTCAATATCAAAAAAAAACAAACAACCCAATCCAAAAACGGGCAGAAGACCTAAATAGACATTTCTCCAAAGAAGATATACAGATTGCCAACAAACACATGAAAGGATGCTCAACATCACTAATCATTAGAGAAATGCAAATCAAAACTATAATGAAGTATCACCTCACACCAGTCAGAATTGCCATCATCAAAAAATCTAGAAACAACAAATGCTGGAGAGGGTGTGGAGAAAAGGGAACCCTCTTGCACTGTTGGTGGGAATGTAAATTGATACAGCCACTATGCAGAACAGTATGGAGGTTCCTTAAAAAATGAAAAATAGAACTACCATATGACCCAGCAATCCCACTACTGGGCATATACCCTGAGAAAACCATAATTCAAAAAGAGTCATGTACCAAAATGTTCATTGCAGCTCTATTTACAAAGGCCAGGACACGGAAGAAACTTAAGTGTCCATCAACAGATGAATGGATAAAGAAGAAGATGTGGCACATATATACGATGGAATATTACTCAGCCATAAAAAGAAACAAAATTGAGTTATTTGTAGTGAGATGGATGGACCTAGAGTCTGTCATACAGAGTGAAGTAAGTCAGAAAGAGAAAAACAAATACCGTATGTTAACACATATATATGGAATCTAAAAAAAAAAAGGTTCTGAAGAACCTAGGGGTAGGACAGGAATAAAGACACAGACGTAGAGAATGGACTTGAGGAAACGGGGAGGGGGAAAGGTAAGCTGGGACAAAGTGAGAGAGTGGCATGGACATATATACACTACCAAATGTAAAATAGGTAGCTAGTGGGAAGCAGCCGCATAGCACAGGGAGATCAGCTCAGTGCTTTGTGACCCCCTAGAGGGGTGGGATAGGGAGGATGGGAGGGAGACGCAAGAGAGAGGAGATATGGGGATATATGTATATGTATAGCTGATTCACTTTGTTATAAAGCAGAAACTAACACACCACTGTAAAGCAATTATACTCCAATAAAGATGTTAAAAAAAAACAACAAAAAACACAAACCTCCTCATTGGGGTCACAGGGGGTATAGCAGAGAAAACATTGAGACACAGCTCTGATCCAATATCTCCCCTGCACAAATACTCACATATTGCAAGTTTGCTTATTCTCCTTACTCCTGGGCATTAACAAGGGCAAGGACAAATCAGGGTCACCACAGGCAGAGCTCTGTAAACGAAGTAAAATTCCTGGAAGACCCATTGACATCAAGCAAGTACAAAGTACCACAGGCAAAATGGAGTCAGGATTAGGAGCCAGGAGCTCCAAGTCATTTGGAGTTAGGATCAAAAAAATAGGTGGTTGAAAACAAATGGCAAAGATCCAGGTAGGAT